TTTTTCAAATATATTAGAACAATAATTAAAACTGATCAGAATAAGGCTAAATGTCAAAAATATCCCAATACACTTAAATTATAAGACTCTAGTAGGCCACATTTTTGTTGTTAACTATAATAAACAAATCCTGTCACTTGATATAATAAAAGGAACTTCGGACTTGTTAGTCAAAGTTTCAAATTGTGGTCAGTTTTTTTTTGTTTTCAGGAAAATGTAAAGATTAGTATCATTGTAATAATTTAATAAATAAAGAGTTAATTTATAGAAATTTATCATAAGTTTTCAATTTTGTTAGTAACGAAGCAATTGCATCCATATTTATAATTTGTCCTATGATTGACTACATTATTTATTCATATAAAAAAAAATTAAAATCTTAAAATTGAATTTGATTTTGAAAAAAATAAAATTATTTTAACCTTTCTGCATACCACAGGAAAAAACATTATTACTATTATATTTTACTTCTTTATGATTTACATACAGACATAATGTTATTGATTTCTTATTGCAATATATATACATAGCGTAATTTAAAAACCTAGATTTATTTCTTTCTTTTTCCGATTTCTAGTTGAAACATTCAAGCATTGGGCAGAAGTTAAGTTTTTTAATATTCCACATTCTTTAGTATAAATAGAAAATACTGAACTAAAAACTATAAAATCTATATTCATTATTTATTATAAAATGATTTAATTATATATATATATATAGAGAGAGAGAGAGAGAGATAAAATATCAGCTTGAAAAACAAGTAGTTTTAACATAAAATGGCAAAGCCAAAATATATATACTCAGAAAGAGAGACTGTTCATGACGGGGGAGTCATTTGATTCAGACTGTTCATTCAGAGTAAAATTATTGCATGAAAGAAAATGTAACACAAAGAATAAGACAGCTGACAAGTGATTGCCATTAAATAAATGGTTTTTCCTTCCTCTCATAGCTATTGTGTGGTAAGGAATAACAAAGATAACAAATGATCTCAGTAATACAATCTAGGTCAAAAAATCCTATTGGGTTCCATGATCTTATTCACAAAAGAATAGTTATCTTATAAGGGTGTGTTACCTTAAATGAGAAATTCTGTCCTAAAAATTATTTATTTTTTCAATTGATTTACTCGCATATTTCATAATTTTAAATATGATTGACAGTCATAAAATAGACCATAAATAAAAACAATGTTGGCTAGGTATTCCACGTCAATGCTACACAAGATCTGAACATCACCATTTCAGATTTTCTTGAAATTCAGCAAATTTGTACTATTTATGAAGACTTGGAAAATTTTGAAATTTTACTGATAGTCTACTCATTTTTTTTAATTAGACAGCTGTAAAGAACATTAAAAAATGGACTCAAAAACAGGATTAAATATTGCTGTAGATACTTTCAAAATTTGGCTAGAGGTATGGGATTGGTTAACATTAACATTTTAAATTATCTGTCGCATGATATACAATACGCATAGGATGATAAAAGAATTATTTTTCAAAATTTTCCGAAAGGACATATTATAAAATTTACATTTTTTTCCATATAAATATCAGCATCATTGTAATAATTGAATGGATCAAGACTTAAATTTATGAAAACAAAACATTAGTCTTCAATTTTTTTTAACAACGAACCCATTGTCATTCCACACTTATATTTTGTCTTCTGATTTAACTACAACAGTATCTATTCATAGAAAAAAATTGAAATTTTAAAAAAACATTCTTTTATTATGATATACAGTGCTGAATATCATAAAAAAGAGGATTTAAAATGCTGCAAAATGACATCAATCCCAGACCTCTAGGAATGATCCTACTAAGAGCTTAAAATAGACTATAAACTGAATATTTTAATGTAATATTTACTCATTATGAGTATCAATTGGATGTGAATTAACTATAAGAGATGAAAATATTTTCTATATTAATTTAATTGTAGTACTTTCTTTAAAAATTATTCGCAACTCTAAAATCATTCGAATGGTTTAACCTCGAATAATAAAAGTTGAAAATTAATATCTAAAATATTGTCTGTAATTTAACAATAGTTAATAACTCAAGATATAATTTGCATACCAAATCAAAATAAAAAATGATCTACAACCATATTTTTATGATTATAGACATTTATCAAAGCTTCTATATCTTTGATATATGCACTAGTGGTAAAAAGTCACTAGCTTGCTTCCTGGTAACGGGGGAGTCTTTTAAATTCCCACCCTCACCCCCTGGCCTGAGAAAACTACATATAGCCTTAAAGGCTAGGACATCCTTCCAAAAAAAACAAAAAAAAAACTATGTGTAATTGTATATAATCTACAAATTTTTAAATTATACTTTTATTTGCAATGTTTTTAGGAAGAGGAGAGCAATAAAATATCTTGGTAAGGTTCATTCACCATCGACCTTGGGGAGATGGCCACTCCTGCCTATATGAAATGGTGTCTAAGTAATACTTGAAGTTCTACTAAATGTAATTACACGAACAATAATACTATAAGAGATAGTTTTTTAATATATTTTTCCATAAAATAGAGTTACATTTTGCCATTTTGGGGAGGCTTCATCCCGAAAGCCTTCCCCTTCCCTCCCTATGCAGATCCGCCCGTGGATACATGTTAAATTTCTGTAGAAAGATCTTTACTGGAAATGGACTGTCCATCCAAAACATCAAAAAGTAATTGAAACGAAGAATGTGTTGATTGAAGTACATCCAAAAATTAATCAGAGATCATATTTTATCACTATAATTATTTAAAGTGACTAGATTTCAATATTGTTTACCCTACTAAGTCGGAAAGTTGGTGTAGCTTATTATATGTAACCTCTGCAAAAAAAAAAAAAAAAAAAATACTCAGGACTTATACAATAAGTAGTTAAGAACCTGTTGACAATAAACGTTGTTTTGATTTAATGAAGAAAGATTGAATTGGAAGAAAAATATTTATAAATATGACATACAATATTTACCTATTGTTGAAACATTTTAATTTAACTTAAAATTATATTTAATAGACACAAAAATAAAAAGAACACCTTTCTACTCCATAAATATTATAGGTCTCTTAATAAGTTATTTACTTCGTGAACAATATTATTCTCAAGTTCTTGATTTTTCATACTTTATCTTACATATATGTATTTCATCAGTTCAACATATGTTGTTATTTTCAACTTAACAAGCAATTAAAATCCTATTGGATAGTCATAATACATACAGTGGCCAGCAAATGTTTTGCCTACTTCCGAGCGATAGCTCTGATGATGACCCATAAGGCCAAAATATACTTGAGATAAAAGGTGAAATAAATGTTAAATGATAAAAAAGTGTTTTATTTAACAAAACCAAGTCAAGAATCATAAATATGATTACATTTGAGTATAATTAATTACTAACAAACCATTACATTATTAAAGCTACTAAAGATGATAAAAGACTTGATATAGTTTATAATTATTAAATCTATGAATTTTATTGAGTTTTTACAGTTATAGTAAAACTAGTCTTTAAAACTGTAATGAATATACAAAATCTTTTTATTGGAACAATTATCAATGAGGTTTTTCTGCCATTCAATAAACTATTTAATTTACCTTAACATATACATACTAATTATTATGAAATATAAATTTTAAATCTACAGTACATATTACCTATATAACATATTTTATCAATAATTTATTTAAGTATAGCAAACATTTTTATCATAAAATACATAAATGGTAATAGTTGTATATTGTATATCTAAAGGTTTCAAATGAAATGGATAACAGAGATAATAAAAAAGAATTCCAATAAATATTTCATTAATAACATGTTTTGTCACCAACACACCAGAAAAACATAGTATATCGTAATAAAAATTCTATCTTAGAGCATATCACTTCAGTAAGTGCAAAAGGTCGTATGTGAAAATTGAGCCTTTGTACAAGAGAGAATAAAAATTGGTTATTTCTAAATGATTTATTAGTATAATTTCATATTTTATTTCTCTCTAGTATTTTCCATAGTAGCAGACTACTTAGGGCAGCTTCAGACAATAAAATATCACCTTAGCACAAATAACATAAGAATGGAAAATTGTTACATACAACCTTTTGCACTAATAGTAGAGATATAATATTTGATGTTTCGAAAAAGCTTATGGTCAAGCGATTTCGTAGGAAATAAGAAGAAAGCTAATAAAGAAATCTTATCATTCTTAAGTATAAAAACTGGGTGAATTTCCAATTGTTCGTATGAGAAAATTATATCTAAGTTTTTTTTTCAAACAAGTGCTTTAAAATACAGTAAAACATGAGAAATATCGTTAATGTGAAGGCTACAGCAACAGCACCTTAATAGTTACATTCAAAGCCGTTAATAACATTATTCAATAACACCTAAAATTGATAATAGGAAAGATTTTTTAAAATCAAATTTAAATTTTTCTGTAACTTTAATTTCATTTAAATATTGGTACACATAATAAGTTTGTATATTCTTTGGCAAGTGGTTAATGCAACCTTCAAATTATGACGTTTATTGTTCTTAAAATACTTCATTAAATCACTTGAAATCCACACATACTCTCCGAATTGAAATATTATGTTTTCTGCGCACAGAAGACTCAGAACAAATTAGTATATTTAGACATCACAACCCAGATAATACTATTATCAGCAACAACAGGAATCAGATTAAGGTTGAATACTGCTTAAGCCCTTATATCACAATATCTATATCATATTCAATAAATTCAATTTAAAAATGTGCAAAAATTAATACTAAAATTAATTGGTACTTAAAATTATTTAAGAATCCATCACCCAATAATAAATTAATTTCTGATTTAACGTAACTATGCTCAAAAACATTCATTAACAATAATAAAGTAATCTCATGTATGATACGTCAACACATAACAATATAAAAATATAGTGAGTTCTTCTGGGCTAAAACACAGTCTCAAAGAAATTATTAAGTATTAATAATTAAGGGCTAAGACATCGTCAGTCTGACTTTTCATTGTCATTTTTATTTTCAGGCTGAATGAGATTGTTAAAGTTTCTAGTAGCATTATTAGCATGAAATGTTTTTAAAGCTTCCCACTGAACAGAATGAAGAAGAATATGCGCTCTTTTATTCCTCATGAACTCAACTGCTTCTTCCGGTCCCCAACCATTTTTAACCATGAGGTAACAACCTACAAGTGTGGCACTTCTAGTCCTACCTGCTTTGCAGTGAACATAAACACTTTGATTTAAATCCTTAAATTTCTTGATGAACTCTACTCCCTGAATAATTTTACTCTGGCAAGGGGCTTCAAATATATCCCTAGTACTCAACTGCAAAAATTCTACATCTCTATTTTTCCATTCTTCACTTGTATTTGAAAACATATACAATTCATAATCTTCATTCATGGACACTACTCCTCTTACATTTTCTTCATTTATCAACTGGTCAGTCATGCTTCTAAATGGAAGAGCGCCAAGAATAACAGTTTCATCAATTCTGTCATACCAGTTCCTGCTGGTAAACTTCTCCATAACCACATTATAAAACAAAGTAGGATAAAAAGAAAGCCTGGCAAACATTTTGTGAAAGTTTTCTAATCAGATAACAATGCAAAAGGTATTTCAAGCCTTATTATACACACCTCATAAGTTGCATATTATTCAACCAGCAGAAGATTTACGGTAGTTGAGTGTAAGGAAGCACAGAATAGAATAAACTTGGAATTACAAACAAAAAAACGTCAATTCCTAACATACAAAATACAAAATAGATCAAAGTACCATCACAGTGTTTGACACTTTCATATTCAATGCGCTATCGATATCACGTCGATAAAATGGTAAGGGGAAAAAAAAGTTTGTGATTTTGTCAAATTGAAATGTTGTAAATATAAACGATCTAAATAATGAACATTGATATTACCTCCCTCCTTCGTAAAACCACTAAAGTCATTGCACATTTAAAACAAACTAATTATATCAAAATAAAAAATATAAGTTAAAATATAGTTATTATACATAGAATGAACCAAATAAAAAATTTACCATTATAAATCCTTTTTTTTTTTATTTTAAAGAATCATATTTTCATTAAAATAATTACTTTTATTTAAGAAGAGGGGGGGGGGAGAGTTTCAATTCAACTATAGTTGCCCAACTTATTACTGTATATCCTATATACAAACATAAAAGCTTTATATGGTTAGAAACATTTATTAAAAATCTCCATGATTTTTTAGACAATATGGTTTAGATAGTATTGTAATAAAGTAGCTTATTTTTCTTAATTAAATTTATTTATTATTTTAACTGAGTTTGATTAAGACTTAATTTATTATAAGGAGTTATTTATTTATTAATTCATCTCTCTTTTTATCTCTTATTATTTTCTTATTTCCAAATGGTTTCTTGGGCTATTGAGAATTTTTCTATTGGATTAAAATTAAACACTTTTCTGATAACACCTTTTATCAGAGGTAAAAAAAAGGATTACCATTTGTATGTTTTAGAATCTATATTTTAAAGATTTTTTTTTATTTTGGTTTCTAATTCGTGTTTTGGAATTTGTTGGGTTTTAAATATGATAATTTCTCTAAATGTCCACGTATATTGAGCAGAGCCATTGTATGGGTGAGGCTCCATGGATCGGGGACAAAAATAGGAATAGGATAAATAGAAAAATAGGATTAATATTCAGAAAAACTGCGAAATTTCTAACCACCTTTCACTTCATGATTCATTCCTTTTCACTTCTGTTTGACCAAACACTGATTACTGATGCAATAAGAGGAACTGAGTCCAAGGTAAAATCTGCAACGAAGCACTTTTGTCTCATTGGGGTGAGAAGGTCACATAGAACAGTAATTTTTCTATTTCTCAGTACAAAAGAAAAGCTGAAGATCGAGGGTATTCTGGATTTAATTGTTCAACTCAATTTTCTCAAACCTAGTGGCCAAAAAGAATGAAAATAATAAAACAATGATGCTTGAGAGCAATAAAAAATGGCTAATTGTTCCAGGAGCAACTAGAATATGTCCCACAACTGGGTTGAATGTCATACTTAATTTAATTCCCTTACACATTTGGATACTGGATCAACTCACTGATTATTTACACAAAACAACTTTATTTTGAAATGAGATTACATACTGGAATTCTGCATAATCATAGTCCACTAAAATATCTTCTCAAGAAGATAAAATTACTAAATGATTCAACCTGCTGTGAGTGACAAGAAAAGGCTGGGCACATTCTGTGTAAATTTGAAGCCCTTGTCTTCATCTGATTGTAGCATATAAACAGATAATAATTAAATCGAAGGAATTAATGTAAGGTATAAGAAGCATATGAATCCTATGAGATTCCTAGATGAACTGAGGGGTATCGATAAAACATCCACGCAGGCCGATAAAAAAAATTTCTCTCAATACTATATTAATATTTAAATTGTTTAATTTTTTTTTTTTTTTTTTTATGATTCTATGTTTAATTCTAAGTATTTTTGTATTGGATCTAAAAACCATCATTTGATACATATTCAATAATGTTTTCATTATGAAGCTCACACTGTCCATATCTATCAGGTAAAATTTGCCTGACCATTGGCAAATAATTGCAATTGTAGATGAAGTCTACTCCAATTTTTATACCTATTATGAAGTTGGATTGCTTCCTTTACATTCCTTTTCTGTGTTTCGTGTATCTATAAAGGAAGAGTTCAGATGGGGAGAGGGTAGAAAAGGAGGAGCATTACATTTTTTCCAAAATTAATTATTACAAATTAATATTATAATAATATTATTGAGTTCAATAATATGGTAAAATTAAACAGGCAGTTAGGTTGATTGTTGACTCATTAGAAGAGTTTGAAGTATACCCATAAAATTAAAGAAAGGGGAGCTTCAAACTTTAAAAATTACATTTTCTTGAAATGCATTTTAAATTACTCTACCTCTATCTCCCTTGGACTTTTCAAGTGATTAATTTGTATATGTCATAAAATACTATCCTTCATTAATTCATTTCATTTTATTATTTAATCATATTTTAACTCCTAAAATGCTGAAATACATGGGGCCAAAAAGAAAAGAAATCCTGTTGCATCTGATAAACTTAGTGTGGAAGCAAAAGAAAACACTGAAAGATTGGGAAGTAGCCATCATCGTCCCTATCTTTAAGAAAGGAGATAACAGAGATTGTAACAACCACCGAGACATATCTCTATTAATCATACCAAGTAAGGTTTACTATAAGATCTTAGATAAGAGAATAAGAAGAAGAATCAAAGGATTACTTCAACAAGAACAATACGGCTTTCAGGAAAATCGTAGCATCCAGGACCTTATCTTTACCATGAGACAAGTTTTCGAAAAAGGAAATATCTGTGTGTTTTGTTGGCATTAAAAAAGCCTTCAATCGGGCGAGAAAGTCTGATATCTTGGAGGTATTGAGAGATAAAGAGATTGATCAAGGTCATGTCCTGGCAGTTGAGAGTCTCTACAGGAAAACAAGAAACATCACAAGATTTGCCAACTGCACTGAATCGGAAATCAAAACAACAATTGGAATCTGGAAAGGTTGTAGTCTTAGTCTACTTTTGTTTATTCTATTAATGATCTCAGCAATACGAAGGGCTAAAAGAAAAATGCTGAAATTTCATCTGGGATATGCCAATTTGAGATCAGTGAGACGCTCAATACTTTATTTTTTATGACGTTATTTTTTCGGAAAATGACAGGAATCTTCAGTACACAAAATAATTTTATTTTGGAATGAGATTACAAACTTAGTAATAATAAATTAAAAGAAAAATTGTGGAAGATTAATATGATTATTAACCCTGTAAAAACAAAAGTAATGAGGATTAGGAAGAACCATAGGAGAAATATGCACGTCATCAGAGTTGAAGACAAAATCCTCGAACAAGTAGAAAACTTCAAATACCTGGACTCACATCTTAATGAAAATGGATACATCAATTCAGAGGTGACTGAGCGAATCTCTGCTGCATGCAGAATGTTTGAAGCAGTTAAGAAAAGTTTTTTAAACAGGCGAGAGGTGGAAAAGAAAACAAAGGTGGCTGTTTTCAGATCGACATCTCTTCTCATTTTAACATACTCTTCAGAATCATGGACACTGACAAAGAAACATCAATCACAGATACAAGTGTCAGAAATTAGATTATTCCGAAAGATTGAGAGGAAAACAAGAAGAGACAGAGTGCACAACAACACCATCAGGTCGAACGTCAATATTAAACCAGCCAATAATGTGATAGAAGAGAATCGACTGAGGTGGCTTGACCATTTTCTGATTGCAACTGAACAGGATTAATAGCAAAGCCTATCGAGCTAAATTAGAGGGCAAGAGAGGAAGAGGACAGCCTAGAAGGAAATGGGAAGATGAGGTGAAGAGCGACTTCCAGAGAAGAGGCCGTCAATGGAATGATAGAAGGCGTCTTGTGGAAGACCGGCAGAGCTGAAGAAGGCTCTAAAACTTCCTCCTCACATTGCTTAATGTGGTTCAAGAGGATAGATTATGATGATGAATCATATTTTATTACATGTTTCAATAATGCTACATGTATTTATTGTATGAGAGACAGAGGAGGCCGCAATGTGGCCCTGTGCCAAAAAAGTTTGGAAACCTTGCTCCAGACAAACACTATGAATGTAAGGATTATTATATGATCTTCAAAAATTTCAAAGAGTATAGTCAGAAGGGGAATTACTGTGTATTTTGTAATCAATTTTTTTCAAATTGTAGAAATATTAACAACTGACAATCGTCAACAATTGACTGACAATCAGTTATTGTCAGTCAATTACTCAGTAATTTGTTGATAATAGTTTTTACTATTTTATTTAATATTTGTTCTATATTAGAAAGGGGAAACAGGTCGCCTCCTCTAGATATGCCAGTGATGATTTCCATAATCTCTTGAAAGGTGCAGTCTATAAGTCTTTCATATATTACAGATATACAATTATAAATATAATATAACTTAAGAACTAAAATTGAGAGTTGTAAACAGGATAATTAACAACAACTTTAAGAAAAAATATATTAATTTAAAAAAAACAAATAAAAATGTAAGTTTTATAAAACTAAAATGAAAAAAAGTTTGTCAATTTCGAGGTGTTATGCTAATATAAGGTCCATTTTCACAGCGAAGAAGCATTTCTGGACTGGGTAAGATATCCTTCTTGGATTTTATTTTGTAATGAAGAACCAGATTAGAAATGATCACCTTCATATCTAGCATTGCAAATTTTTGACCTGAAATATTATAACAAAAACTTCATCGCTTTCCTATTTATTTTAAATATTAATGTCAATGAACTAACATGTTATAAACTAATATCATGTGAAGCACTTTCAGGCAATTGGATCTAAGTGTCAAAAAAACAAATCTATTTGAAAAAAAAAAACATTCAGAAACTCGAATTTCCAGAGATAGATAGAACTTCCAGTATCAGTAATTGTTTCAAAACTACTTTGTGAAGGAAAATAAAAGAATTAGGAATTTTTTATTATTTTACGCAGAAAAACTTCACATAATTAAACTTTTTAAATTGATCTTCTAAATTGAACTAAGGATCTATAAAATTACCTATACAATTCCTTGGCCCAGCTGAGAATGGTATGTAGGCATACGGATGTTTTTGTGGCTCAAGGAATCTATCTGGATTGAATTTTTCTGCATCTGGAAATAGATCTTCCCTCCTGTGTAACGCATAGATAGCCATCGTGATCTGTGTTCCTTTTGGAATTAAGAATCCACCTGGAAAAAAAAAAATATATATAAGCTCTGTGCTCATTGAGCCTTTTTATTTATTTCCCTTTGTTTATTTAACTACCTGCACTCTATAGTTCCAGCTTTGATAAATTTTTAATTTATCCAAGTATGTCTTAAAAACGAAAGGGCAATTCACTAAAAAAAAAACTTTCTTACTACAACCTTCGAAGGATCTTGGATTTAATATTTTGTAAGAAAATACTGTTTCATAACAGTTAAGCTGAATAACAATTGGGCTGAGATTATACTCAATTACACACTTTATAGAGACTGGATGTGCCTCAGGAGCATCTCCTGATCCCAGGATCGATCCATAGCTAATAATACAAGAATAAATAATTTCTTCCACAGCCAGACTCAAACTTGTATTATATATTATCCATCTTATTATGTATTTTATTATTATTATGTATCAGTTTTTTAGATAATTTTATTATCTTTAAAATATTTACTAATAAAAATGACCAAAAAGTGTGTACATTTGGAGTAATTCGCAAATAAAATTCTGTATTCATCTTTTTCTTGCTTCTTTTTGGGGAAGTATGTGAAGTACATAAATTTATAGAGCTTCAAGAAGACTTTAAGCAAGTTTTATTAAAACTGTTACAGCCTTTTTGGCGCTACAGTCTATAGTGACACAGGTTTTTTAGATGCCTTTTAAAAAAATAAAATGGCATATGGTGATGCCTGAGTTTGGAGAATAATCCTTGGGTAATCTCTGACTTCATTAAATTTTCAACAAAAATCGGTCCAGTAGTATCAAGAAAACCTGTGGAAGACAGACAGATACTTTTTTTTTAGGGGCTGGGTGGTCTAGAAGGCTAATGCGTGTGTACATTATAGTACATTTCTCAGCAACCCAGTGCTGGAGAGAGGAGAGGGGTTGTTAAATCTGGAATTTATCCCCCCGCCCTCACCCCATGACCTAGGAAAATCCTACATTGCCTAAAAGGCAAGGAAGGGGAGGACCAAAAAAAGAGATTTTTTTTATTGGATTTTCAGATTCTATTATTGTAAAAAGTGAAATCACCAACTTTGAGATTTTGTTTTCTTGGTCATTTACAATGGTTTATTATTGAAAATAAAAAAGCGAAAATTAACAATCCCCTTTTTTATCATTATAGAATATTTTATTTATTCATCTATGTTTTAAACATTTTATTGTTCTAATTTATTTAAATATTTGTCTCTTATTTAATAGATATTTTAGCCCATGAGCTGGTTTATACAAATCCTACATATTAATGCCTAGCTAAAGATTTTGTGAGATTGATAATGTGAAATCTTAGACTGTAGCTGAAATATTTAACACAATAATTAAAAATTATTCGTTATGCCATCCTCAAAAGATTAGACATGCCTTTCCTGTCCTGTTTAATTTGCTAGACATTAAAAGAGCTTCAATTTTCTTTGTGAACACAAAAAAAAATATTCAAGTATTAATTATACAATAAATTTCTTTCACATAAATATATTTACTTGATGGCAAAAAAACATCTTCAATAGCCTCTCGTCCTATAATTGGAACTGATGGATACAATCTTAAACTCTCTTTAATGACTCGTTCCAAATAGACCATTTTGTTATAGTCTTCCATTGATGGCTCTTCTTTATCTTGGAGAATACTAGACACTTCCTGGTATAATTCTTCCTGTGGATTTATTTATTTGTTATTATTCAAAGAATCAAAGGAGCATTTAAACTGCTTTTTAATGGTTTCTTATTTATTCTATCTTTATTTTTTTTTTCACTTTAAATCTAATAATTGACAAAAAAAATAATTAAATAAATACTATATTACATTGAATATAAAGCATTTATAATTCAAGACACCTGTTTTTCATTGATGTAGTAAGAAATTTGACAAATAAAAAAAATTATAAAATTCATTATTTTTTATTTTTAAGAGCATTATTTTTTATATATTTATTATTATTAAATAAAAGCTCAAACAATAACAAATAAGTGCTTATTTGTAATTAATTTCACAAATTAATCGTATGAGTTTATGTATAAATTTTGTAGCTAAAAACATATTTTATAAATTTTAATTGTTCTGAGGAAATTGGCTTTCGGATATATTTCTAACATCATTTAACAGTGTGCCTTAAATTAATAATTAATAATTAAATTTGATGTGAGATAGTTATAAAAATAAGAACGTTAGCATATATTTATTTCAAACCTGTACATCTGGATGCATTCCAAGAAGCCAGGTTGTAAAAGTTAAAGACATTGTTGTTGTATCATGGCCCTTAAAAAAAATTAAAACATTATTTCATTTTAAAAATTATGTTTAACAAATAAGGTATTCCATCTTTATATATTATTTACTTATGGTATTTTTAATGATAGATTATATCTTCTTTAATATTTAATCAAAACCAATGATTGAGCGAATATATTTAATATTACCATCTCCTCTAATGCCAAAAAATAAGCACATACTCCCATAAAAAATTATAAATGGAAGTTTATTAGTACGTAACTTGAAAACTATACAATTTATGATTGATGGTGGACATAATCATTTGAAAGGTTACCAAAACACAAAACAAAAACAAAAAAAATTTAAAATCGACCTTTATTGCACCAATACATGTTGAATTTTTCTTTCTTACTTATTTTCAATAATAAACCTTTGTAATCAACAAAAAAATAAAAAATAAAAATAAAAATTATAAAATAAAAAATCATATACCTTTAAATAGAAAGATCTCTTTAGTATAGAACCATGGCAAAGGTTCCTAAACATTCCATATGCCTTTTATGGATCAGGTAATATAAGATTTTTTCAATAATAAATTTGAGAGAAGTAGTTTAATTCAAAACTAATTGGTCAGTACAAATAATTTGCATGGTTTATTAATAATTAGCCAAATGGTAATATAACGTGAAAATAAATAGATGAGGAGATGGGATTAAAATTGAAAATAATAAACCAAAACTTTTGTACAAAGCCTAATATGCTGTGTCATTGCTAATAATAATGGTCCAATTTTAATTTTTTTTTTTTTTTTACATTTGTGGAGAAGGTAATCTTCAGAACGGAGGCCCAATCAAATGATAAAGAGCGATATAACATATAAAGATTTAATTAAAAAAAGTCAAGTGATATTTCAAATGAATACATTTTTATATAATACTTAATGAATTGGTGAAAAAAATAAAATAATTTATATTTATTTAGAGAAGTTGAAATATAGTAATAATATACTCTAATCACTGGCTCGATCAGAAACTTACCTCAAACATAAATGTAATAACTTCATCTTGGACGTCTCCATCTGTTTGAAAAGCAGGAGCATTTTTTTCTTTCATTTCAAGAAGAAGCTGTAAGAAAGCTGTCCTTTTCTTAATACCTGAACACAATAAAAATTGATATATTTTTTCATAAATTGTAACTGTAACCATTGTGCATTATTAATGTAAACATCACTAACCTAATGCTTCATCTGATGGAGTGGTACCGTTTTGATTAACTTTAGAATATCTTTTACCTTTTATCACCTATACGTTCAACAAAATCTTAATTAATTTATACATTCAGAGTAAACTAGTTAAGAAACGAAATTATCCTATTAACTTTTTGTTACCTCCCTTGGAAGTGAAAAAAGTATTTTGAGAAGATCTGATTCTTCCTTTCTCCGACCTGAGAGAGTATACACTGGTTCCATACCCAGTAGAGGATTAGCAATTTTCTCCATGAGAGCAGAAGTCATTCTGTAAATACAATAACAGTTTTGAAATAAGAAAGCAATCTTTATTCAGGCAAACACAGTCCTCTTAAAATAGATACATGAAGTTTACTATGAAAGGATAGATTTCTGGATTGGGTGAAATCGGAAACATAAATAACAATAAGGTTATTATGCATGATTTTATTTGTAACAAAGTAAGGAGCATTGAGGATTTTTTTATGAAGGATTTTGGATTGTAAGTATCAGATACAAGAGGAATTTGATGGTTTAGTGGAGCCCCATAGTTCAACTCCCTAATTCCAAATAGGTCTTAATATAGTCATGTATATAAGTAATTTGTAATTTATTGGAAGCTTTGAGCGTTTTTCTAATAAGTACTCAAGTAGTCGGAAACTTCGAGCGGTTTCTTGTCAGTTCAGTCTGATATGTGGATTCCAAGTAGGGTTCAAGGTATCGGATTTGTTCAACAGGAATAAGTGGGGTATTGTTTAGAGAATACTGTAGGACAGGAAGTCATCAGTTTACGATGAAGAGTAAAGATAATTTGGTGGTATTTGTTAGAATTTATTTTAATCCTCCAGTTTTTATACCATGCTTTAAGATTTGTGATGTGTGATTGAAGAGTTTGGGAAGCAATTGATGGGTAGTTATTAACTGATAGGATATATGTGTCATCGGCATACGTGGTGATGACATTGATAGGATGGGGTGAGATTTCAGGTTATATAAGAATGGATAATTAGAAAGTATATAGGAGGAATTCACAAAGTTTTTAAAGCAGCCCCAGGTGCCAGACTTGATCAAAATCCTTGATGAAATTTAAAGTTGTCTCCATCAAAGAGACATTTTTAAAAAAATATCTTGTTAAAACATTTTTTGAGAAAGACCTATTTTTTTATGTAATATATGAGGGCAAGTTATATTTTTTCTACTTAATAATTAGTGTTTATAAAAATAATAAGAAAATAAAAACTATATCAACAAAGAAATTTTCATTCAAAATGAATCTTGACCAAAATAAATCCAAATTATGTATTATTTTTTTTAAATTTATTTGAAATTATTATTATGTTTTATATATTATGGTATTACTAGAATGTTGAAAATTATAAATAAATCTGACAATAAATAAATTAAGACAAACAGCATGAGGTCTTACCTAAATAAACTGGTTGGATACTCTGAATCTGGATTGGTTTGTGCTTTAAGCTCAGTGCCCATAGCTGTCTCTAAACAGATAGAGGAATGGTTTAAAACACTTTAATTATGTAAGTAAGAATAATTATTTTTACATATTTGATTGCTGAGAAGTGATACATTGTAACTGTACATAAACAAAATTTATTTTCATGAGAGAAAATTTAGTTAGTAATTCATAATAGTAAAGGATTACTGAAAAAAAAATTAGTATTTTGATAAACCTGTTCAGATTAATGAAAAGAACACAAAAACTTGGACATCTTTAAGTTAAACTAAATTTTTAAACCAAGTTTTTTATTCTTATTTGAAATTGCTAATTTTATGGATATGGGTTTTAATTATTTAATTAATTATCAATATGCTTATCAGAATATAAAACTCTATACTGAGAAGCCGAAGTAGTAAGAAAAACAAGAAGTATATAATATCTAATATATTTTTAATATTTAATACAGTACCAGTATTTAATACCATAAATAAATTTTTTGGTCTGCAGACCACACAGAGATCTCCACTAAGTCCCGTGAACCATGGTTTGTGATGAAAAAACTTGTTCTATCAATGACGCTTTAGTTGTGAAATGAAGTTTCTAAGATAAACAACTTCTAATCTAAAAGTTATAGTATCCTTGTGTTCGAGTGATTTACCAAATTTCATATATTTTAAATTTTTTGATGTAATCAAAGAAACATGGGCCATAGTTTGGAGATCACTAATTTAGAATATTAAAAAATAAAATACAATAGATTTCACACTTATAAAAATCAAGTAGCTGAGAAATGTATACTATGTTGATATTAAATTATTAAAATTTTAAGATAACTCATTTAAGGCTTTACCTGCAATTGCGTCTAAAGCACAGTTTGAGATGTATTCAGTTAAGTGGAATGGTTCTTGCCCAACTTTATCCTTAATACAGTCTACAAGAGTCTTAGAACATTTATAAAAAATAGGAACAAACTCATCTAGGATCTTGAAGTGAAAGGTAGGTGTAATAGCTTTTCTTCTCATCTGCCATAGTTTACCTATAAGTAGAATAACATTGTGAGAGGGGGAAAACCTGTTTTACCAAAGTATTAGAATAATGAATCAGTTATAGATATATATAATTGTGGTCTATATTTAATGTTCAACAGAAATAAAAATACAAAGGATAAGGGACTAGTCAATTACAAAATAATACAAAAAAACCAAACAAAAAATAAAATGAAAATGAAAGAGTTGAAAACTAAATAAAAATAGTGATTATACTTATTTAGTTCATCCCTATAAATGTATCAATTATTATTTTTAAAATACCTTTTTACAATTTAAACATGTTTTTACTTTTAAAATATATAATTATACTACCAAAATTTATCACTTAGTTGCCTTTTTAAAGTTATTCCTGTTGAAAAAATAATTTTTGATTAAAATCTTGAAATTCCTCAAACAAAAATTAAAAAAAAAAAGTTATTCCTCATCCGTTTACTAACTCCTACTGTGATCATACCATTAAACTGTTTATGAGTGATTTATTAAAGATTAATTGCAATTAGCTGTATATTTTGACATAGATCAGATATCTATATTATTATCTCAGCTCTCAGGAGAGAATTAGTAATTGGTAAGTCTATGTGTGTATGAAGGTGTTATTAGAAGACTATTTTTTTTTTTATTTATTGTCCTATTACATATTGATAACATTAAAAAAAATCTTTAATATTAATGTCATTGAGACCTTAATGAATTATTATTCCTACTTCCTCCTCGCACCTGATCTATAGGTCTGATTTAATAAAACAAACACTTATAAGTTATAGAAGAAATAGGAATTAATGAAGAAAGGTCGAGAGTATGAAATAATGAATCATTATTTATTACTTCTGTTCATTATTCCTAAAATTGGTGTCTTACGGTTTTCTCTTTTACATAAATTAGGCCATTATTCACCAACATTTCATTTATTAGCTATTAATTACGATGTTTCAACCATACTAAGGGCCTTTTTCAAGTCTTAATGAGTCCTCCATTAGATGTTCATTATTAATGTCGCATTAATTTGTTCACTGAAAAATTAAATAGTCCTGCTATTTTAGAGTTTCCCCTACGCCATTTCTGGAGGGACTGAATCAGCAGAAACCCTAAAATTGCAGGACTATTTAATTTATCAGTGAACAATTAATAATGAACATCCAATGGAGGACTCATTAAGACCTGAAAATGGCCCTTAGTATGATAGAAACGTCGTAATTAATAGCTAATAAATGAAATGTTGGTGAATAATAGCCTAATTTATGTAAAAAAGAAAAAAATATTTATTACAATAATTTTCAATTACCACTTATTTTTTTGTTGAGATAGTTAGTTAACATTGTCTCTTAGAATTTATATAAATAAATAAAATAGGAAATTTATATAAACAGGATTAGTATAAATAAAATAGCATTTGTATAAATAAATAAATAAATATATGTGTATTAATAAATATTACAAAAATAAAAATAAATAAAATAAAGTTTTTCGATTATAAAAGTCTATAACAAGAATAGCATATACACAGGCGAAAAATTCCATCCACTTGATTTTTTCATATCTTCATCTAAAAATATTTCTACTTTGGATTGGTCTATTGTTTTTAATGAATAAATAGGTAATCTTTTTGTTTGTTTTCAATTAGGAATGTTAATATAGACGACAATAACTCTTAATCCTTAATTCAATGAAATGATTCTAGATTCCAATGTTTACTTTCTATGGAATCAAAATGTTTATTCAGTATCAGTAATTCATTGCCGTTTCTTGCAGCACATTTCTGAGTCTCCGGCTTTTAATTTTTTCAATATTAAGTTTAAAAATGCCTCTTAGTGCTGAGGATGTTGCGCGTGGTGTGGCACTTATTGATGATGGACGTTCCTTGAGATATGCAGCTAATGCCATCCGAATTCCATATGAAACTTTACGAGACGCTGTCAGGCGTTTTCGGAAAACTGGTTCTTACAATAGAAGGCCCGGTTCTGGACGGCCTAGGGTAACAGAACCACGGGATGACCAGTTTTTGACTTTGAGAATTTTACAAAACCGGCACCTTACCGTTGTTCAAGCGATTCATCAGCTTGAAGAAGTTCGAGGTGTGCAACTTTCTGAACGTACCGCTCGGAGAAGATTAAATGAGTATGGATTAATGGCTTTTCGTCCAGTAAGAGGACCAGAGTTGACCAGAACTCACAGAGTAACACGGCTGGCTTTTGCTCAAGAACACAGCCATTGGACTATGGCTCACATCCACGAATGGAGTGCTGTACTTTTTACAGATGAGTCAAGATTCGCTCTTCGATCTCCAGACGGGCGTGAAAGAGTGTGGAGAAGAAGAAACGAAAGATACGCAGCCTGTAATTTTTCCTAGAGCCAACCTTTCCAACCTGGTTCTTTCTCGAGCAAAAGCCAGCCGTGTTACTCTGTGAGTTCTGGTCAACTTTGGTCCTCTTACTGGACTAAAAGCCATTAATCCATATTCATTTAATCTTCTCCGAGCGATATGTTCAGAAATTTGCACACCTCGAACTTCTTCGAGCTGATGAATCGCTTTAACAATGGTAAGGTGGCGGTTTCGTAAAATTCTCAAAGTGAAAAACCGGTCATCCCGTGGTTCTGTTACCCTAGGTCATCCAGAACCGAGCCTCTATTGTAAGAACCTGTTACCCAAAAACGCCTGACGGCGTCTTGTAAAGTTTCATATGGAACTCCGATGGCATTTGCTGCATATCTAATGGAAAGTCCATCATCAATAAGTGCCACACCAAGCACAACATCCTCAGGACTAAGAGGCATTTTTAAACTTAATATTGAAAAAATTAAAAGCTGGAGACTAAGAAATGTGCTGCAAGAAATGGCAGTGAACTAATGATACTGAATAAACATTTTGATTCCATAGAAAGTAAACATTGGAATCTAGAATCATTTCATTGAATTAAGGATTAAGGGTTATTGTCCTCTATATTAACATTCCTAATTGAAAACAAACAAAAAGATTACCTATTTATTCATTAAAAACAATAGACCAATCCAAAGCAGAAATATTTTTAGATGAAAACATGAAAAAATCAAGTGGATGGAATCTTTTGCCTGTCAGTGTATTTTCATACCTGTGCTTATAAGCAGACCACTCCCCAACCAAGGCACTAAATCGTTGTAACTCCATGATTTTGTAATTAAAGATTGGCTTGACAAAATCATCTAAAAAATAATTAATTATAATCAGGAGATTGAATAATATATGTTGTAAAATGTTAGTACACGTTTATAACTAGTGATATTATTTTAAAAATAATTATTTCAATAAATAAATAGAATTATTCAATTTCAAAGTATTTAGTTTGTTGAAATACAAGTAAAAGATTAAGATGTATTTTAGAAAAAAAAAAATATTTTGTTAAAACTATAAAAACCATTATATTTTCATTATTTCCTTTCCATCTTTTTCAACAATTTGTAATATTGTATCCATTGATCATTTAATTTAACACATTACCTGCGATTCCGGTCCCCGGTGTCTATCAGATATAACGATTATTTACGTTTGTAGCCATCTTTATATCTATCTAACTCCCATTAAAATATTTTTAAAAATGGCCATTTTAGAGACTTCGTAAGATAGGCAAAATTCGAAACAATCCGACGAATATTGGAACCTGAGCCCCATTAGGGATAATTATATGTAGCAACATATCCTAGGATCTTATGATTAATTCATGAACACTCTTCTGTGAAGATTTTATTACGTTTCTTAGAGAAAATATAAACCGTGTTCATCACAAAATGAGTTCATCTCACTGACTCAAACTTTTAAATAGAAATAAAGACTCAGTAAAGCTATCAATTGCATACATTGTTCTATAGGCAAAACTCAACACCCGGGTATCGTTTCGACTGTTGTACATATCCTTACCGTCCATTAAGCTTATCTTTATTATTAGAAACCCATAAGTTAACAGTGCACCGAAAAACCTGTAGGTCTAGGATCATAAACGCAGACTTTCCATTCTGGTAGGAGAGGAGGGGTGATGGATCTAACAAAAAAAAAGTCTTGGAAATGTATATTATGTACAAAATTAGCCATTTAGTCAAATTTTCGAATTATCTTAATTTCCATAATTTATTTATTCTTGTAGATTAACTGTTATTGATTTTGATTCTATTTTTGTTCATCCAAATATTGTGGGGGGACGAAATGATATAATATCCGGGTCCAAGGGACTGTAACTGCAGCTAACGGGTTAATATTTGTCCAATCACAATTTCATAGTTGTTCTTTTTATTTTCTAACTGTATTTTTTGTTTTGTATAATATAATTTTAGTTATCTTCTGTTCTAAATCTATCTCTTGTAGATAACAAACATTTATCTTCACAATATTTTTATTTGGCAATGGAAAAAAAAAATACAATCAAAAGGTAATGTGCAGTATTAGTAAATAATAACAATTTTTTTTTATTAATTAACACCATGTTTGGTACTTACTTGAATGTCATCTGGATCGACCAGAAAAAGGTGTAATTGAGGTCCAAGCCAAACCCGAAATGTATTTCCATATATTTTCATGCTTTCTTTCCAATTTTCTGGTGCTTCTAATAGAAAAAAAAGACAACTTCATATAAAAAATATATAAACACCTATTATTATTAAATAAATACCTATTATAAATAAATAAATCAAAAATAAATTAGATGATTATAAATAGCCTATAATATTTAGAAACGTCAGTGTCGAAGTAGCCTAGCAAGATTATGAGCTGAGAAAATCAGAGATAAAAAAATTTTATGGTTTATTTGAATTTTGATGAAACCCAAAATACTTTAATTTCTCTCCAAGATAGGTTAATTGATTAACAGCTTCAAAGCAATAAGTAACAGAGCCTTCTTCTGGCGTGGACGCAGAATATATTTGGTTTTTGCTTCATTAATTACCAGCCAAACTTTCCTGCTTTCCGTATCCATTTCAACTAGTAATTCCTTTAAAGCATTTTTGTTTCTGCCCACATAACCAGCATAATATATCATCCACACAACCAGCAATCTGCGCAGTTGTGTAGGCTTGAAAGATTATCACTCAGAACAATTCTTCTCTCAGCTTTATGGAGGATTAGGCTGATGTGGCATCTCCCTGTTTTATCCCATGTTATCCACGTTAAACATGTTTTGGTGACTGGTTTGATCGCCAACTAGGTAGGTCACTCGCTTGTGTTTGAGCATTGTCATTTTAATCAAATTAATTAACTTATAAAAAATGCCTAGTCTAAGTAATAATGATATTTTATTTGAAATAACTTTCTCTTATATTTCAAATGTTTTCCAGATTACTTTCTTATGCTATTTTTCAAATATTTATTTGTATTAATTTTTTTAAATGTAGTTTTTTGTTTTAGATACTGTTTAAATTTTCTTTTTCTTTTTGCTATATTTTTATTCAATTTAAATTATATCAAAATTTACTATAAAATAGTATGGCCATACTGTTTTGGCCCCTATATAATGTTTTTTTTTTTTAAATTTTATTCTTAAGGAACTGTGTTCATGAATGATAAAGAAATTTTTCATTTCATTCCACAACCTACCATCTTTCAATATTATTTATAAATTTTTAAATCTTAAGAAAATATATAGATGGATAGTAATGATTGTTTACTATATATCATACATTATTAATTTTAATAAAATTACTTGTCCTTACTTGGTCCCATAACGACAAAATTGAAAATGTTTCCAACTATAGGCCAGGCTTTAGGGCCTGGGATCTTTCTCGCCATCCTGCTCTTTCTGTCTGGGAATAGCAGCCATATTAGGAGGGCTCCTAATATCGCTGAAAGATACAGTAAAAAATCCATGTGGCACCTGCAAACATAATATATTTGGCTTACTTTTTTATTCTTCTTAAAAAAATTGATGATATGCATAATTTTTATTTTATTTTTAAACAATCCCATTTTTAATGAATGGAATAATTTATATGAATATATTATAAATATATCAATTATTTTTATATTAGTTGATATATTATGTTTTTCTGAAAACTGTGACATAAATACGTAAGATCCTAGTGCAATGCCATCTTGGCAACAACCCCCACAGTCCCTTTCAAAATCGGCACATTCGAGTTTTGAACATATGACAAATTCCTACTAATGCTGCAAATAATAATTTTGCACTGTTGTGCAACAAAAACATATTTCGTGTAACATAATTATCATTTTTGTAAATAAATTAAAAATTAGACGAATAAGAATTTACCCCTGATTTTCAACATTTATAAAGAACAAGCCCTTAAAGACTAGAAAAGATCATGCTGTGGAATGGGTGTTCAAATCAGGAATGATGTCATCTACAATTTGCAATATGCCGATGATCAAGTCATAATCGCATCGGATCCAGATGATGTTAGCTACATGATGAGGAAGTTGCTAGACACGTATTCCAGATGGGGTCTGAAGATCAGTGAAAGTAAAACAGAGTGCATGGTTTTCAACGCTCCAAATTTGCCCCTTGAAATTGATGACTGGACGCTAAATGTCAGCCAGCAGTTCAAGTACCTCGGATACTGGTTATCTTCAAAGGGAGGTAGTGAGGTTGATATCGAATATAAAATAAATAATGGGAAAAGAATAATAAGTTCGATAAATTCAACCCTATGGAGTAAAGAAATAAGATTAGAAACTAAAAAGAAGATATACCATTCCTTTGTAGAAAGCGTAGCCACTTACGGATCAGAAGTTCGGACACTGACAAAAAAGATGGAAAATAAGTTGCTTTCCATGGAAATGGATTTCTGGAGAAGAAGCTGTGGCATATCTAGAATCGAGCGGATCCCAAACGCAGCTATTAGAGACAGGGTGGGATGTCAAAAGAACATCCTTCACCTGATCGGGACCAAACGGTTAAAGTGGTATGGCCACTTAATGCGGATGGATGAGAACCGCTGTCCAAAGAAAATTTATAACTATATGCCACCTGAAAGAAGGAAGCGTGGAAGGCCAAAGAAGAAATGGACTGAGGACGTGGAGGAAAGCATGGCAGCCAGAGGGCTTCGTGAAGGAGATTGGATGGACAGGGAGCAGTGGCTTTTGGGTGTTGGGGATATGACTCCTTAATTTGTATAAACCCCAAATAAAAAAAAATAAAAAATAAGAATTTAGGAATAATTATTGTGCAATTCAAAATCAATAAATGAATTGAAATAATTGTTGTGTTAGGTTGAATTACTGTAATATATATATTATTGTTGAATGGAGGAACAGAAAAAATATATAAAAATTAATTGTTAACCTTACAAGCACAAAATCATAATGAAATAATTTTAATTAGTCCTATTATGAAATATTTTTCATTATAAATATAACATGGACCAGCTTTGTTTGAAAATTTTTATTAGACATTAGATTTTTTAATTGAAAAAGAAATTAAGGACTGTAATTAGAATTAACTTACTGATTAATATAAATATTTCCTTCCAAACTCAAAAGCTAAACTATTAGGTTCAAAATAAATTGTGACATTTAACTCAAATCTGTTTTAATATCAACCTTATATATATGTAAAATAAACTTAATAATATAAAAGAAACCTTCAGTTTTCAACTCTGATGTTTTAAACTATTAGAAACAGTTTTTTTTCCCTCATTTTTTGAACTGTTATAATTTTTTGAAAAATAATACGAATGCCATTGTGTCTCTCTCTGGTTATATTGAAAGAATAGTAATTATATATATATATATATATATATATATATATATATATATATATATATATATATATATATATATATATATATATATATATATATATATATGCTTCTTTTTTAAACTTTATTGGTTAATATTTAATTTTTTTCTCCCCCTCCCCCTGAGCTGGTCACTGGAGCAAATCAGTCCAACTGCTTAACAATAGTTAAACTAATATCTTTAGATGACCCATTTATCTTAAATGTTTGAAAAGTAAAGTTGCAATAGCAAACAAAAATAAAAGGCAGTAATGAATAATATTTCTCATTTTATTCGTAAATAGTGATGGCCTTAATACAAAACATATTAAAATAATTAATTTCATTCTATCAATAAAGCGACTCTATTAGAAAAATTTTGAATGAAATTAAATAGTAATAGAAAATCATCTTTATTCTGGGACTAGGTCCCTTAAGAATAACAATATTGTTCAAACCAATTGACAATAAATCTGGCCAGATGACCTGTTATACTAAAGAGTAACTAAAATCTAAGAAATAAAATGAGTATATGCATATTTGTGGAGGGTATATTAAGAAAATCAGATGGGTACTAGGGTTACAATATTACAATATTGGTAAAAAAAACAAAAACATACTAATAACTAAATAAAATTGGAAAGAAACACTAAATAAGTTTTATAGGCAAAAAAATTTAGTGATAAAAAAAAAAATAATTAGAGTAAATGTATGATTTATTTATGTTCCTTAAGACGTTTAAGTGAAAACACATGAAGATGTTGTGAAAAACTAGATAAGTATTGTGATCTACCTATGATACAATAGATTACGAGCAGAAAAAAAGTATATATATATATATATATATATATTTAGGAGGGGAGATGATGTTATTGACCTGGGAAGCCAAATGCCTAAGGCCGGTCGCCGGCACTGTTTCTAAATTTAATATTAATAATATAAACTAGAGCATACAAGATACATTCTTCACTAGACAAAAAGATTAAATCTAATCCAGATGATTGTCAAAAGAAATTCGTCCTCAACCACCTTTTCTCTATTTTCCTGCTGTTAGATATTGTAAAAGCAGGTATTTTGATACATTTTTTTTTTTTACTTTCACTTACCTATATATAAAATATATAGTAAGAGAAAGTATTACAATAGTGAACATTTTCGAATTCTAATGTTCAACGGAAATACACGTTTTGAGGTCCTTGAGTCCAGAAAAACAAGTTTCGTAAAATGGTCTAAAGGTTTTAAGAAATTGAAATTTCATATTTAAAGGATATACCGGAAATTGTAATTGATAAAAAACGCATAAATACAATACATTAGACGAATGGAAAAACATTAGATAGTTTATTGTTTTTAGTTGTTTTAATATGTCGCACTGTCAATAATTTTTACTTTCACCTCCCTGTGGATGAAAATATATATTTCTACCCAAAGTAGGATGGTAAGTGAAAATTGCGAGATGCGCGCACCGCACCAGATTTTTTAAATATCAGTTCCAGTTGCTATGGTTGAGAGATGCCCATCCATCCAAGTATGGTGGTGCTTTTCTATCTGTTATAAAAAAATTAATTGTCCTTCTTTTTTAAAAAAAAGTACAAATGGATATAAAATTTTAAAAACTATAATTTAGCTTTTCACCGTACCTCCATTGTAGTTCTTGAAGAAGTTGGTGATAATCGCCATTTGTTAATATGGTACCATAATAATGATTCAATAATAATACCTGACCAAATTATTGTATAATATTACTCATTTCACTAGTAATCAATCTTTATATTGTTTATGAACGAGTTTCACTTAAAGACGATAAAGAAATGCTCAGATTTCCAGGTTTTTGGCTGCCAAGCGATGTTGTTGATGTTTTTTACTGGTTATGTATCCACAGGAGTGTCCATCGTCGATCACCACCAAGGTCGATGGCGCAAGAACCTACTTGCCCCCCCCCCTCCTTCCAAGATATTTTATTGTTCACCTTTTCTTAAAAACAGAGGAAGCTAAGAGCTAAGGTAGAACAGTAAACAGAGCTTTCTTCTCCCTTTCAAAACTGTTGAAATTCCAAAAAATCTCAAATTAAGGGTGTACAATGCAATGATAAACACAGTTCTGATATACGGTTGCAAGCACTCTAGAAAGAAGTATTGAAAGATTTGATAGAAAAATCCTACCCCCGATAATCTGAGCGATCTTGGATCATAGTACTAACTCATGGAGAAGAAAGATTAATAAAGAGCTGCTCATAGAAACTGGTCTATCAATATCTCATGATAGGAAAACAAGGAGGTTAAGATGAGGGGAGAGGTAGCTCGGAGCAATCCATCAGGAATCGTCTAGGTAACAATGAATGCCTCATTAGTAGGGAAAACACCATGTGGAAGGTAAAAAAGCAAATGAATAGATCGAATCAGCAAAGATGCAATAGAGCTGCATGCAAATAACCGGAAGGCAATATCCCAAGATTAGCAGAAATGGAAAAGGCTGATTAAAGCGGAAATATCAATGAAATCTATAATTTAAAACGAAATATATTATTTCGTAGTATTTCTGTTTATTTTTATGTCACTATGATACACTTCTTATCTGATGAATTAATTCCTTAGGTGGATTGTAATATGTCAACAACCATATCTGTTAACTCTTGTTGAAACTAGCTTAGTATTGTGTTTGCTATTGCACTGTGAATATGGAAGAAAATATCATTCCTTATCAGCATATTTTGTTGTATTATTTTAAAAAAGGAAAAAAGGTAAGCGTGCTGCAGAAGCTCATTGTATGATTTGCAGTGTTTATACCTTAACCGAACGCACCTGTCAAAATTGGTTTGCCAAATTTCATTCAGGGAATTTTGACTGATTTAATGATTTAAAGATTTAATGATGCTCAACGGTCTGGTCGCCCACATGAAATTGAAACAAGAAATGTTAAGCCCATTGTGATCAAAATCCCACCCTATCAGTGCGAGAGATTGCTATGGCCCTAAATGTGTCGCACACAAGCGTAGAAAATCATTTGCACAAACTCAGCTATTTTTCCAGGTTTAATGTTTGGGTCCCTAACATGATTTTTTTTTCTAAAATCACAAAATACGTTTTAACTTCAATACGATTTTAGCTATTTACAAGTAATTTAGCGACATCAACAGGGC